GGGGGGGGGGGTTTACAAATTTCTCAGCGGCCAGAAAGGTTGAAAGGTAAGTGGTAACAGAATAGAGTGGTCTGCAGAGCTTCAACTCCTAGAGGAGGGAAGAGGGAAGGAACCCACACCATGTACAGTGTACGGCCAATGGAGATCAGAAACCCCTGCACGGGCACCTCCTCAAAGCTGGGAGGAGACGTCAAACCCACCACATTGCTGATAAAATAGGTGCACTTGGTTGGTCCTCTAACAAACTGAGAGTCTAGCACTAACTCAGTTTGTACATACTGAATATGTAATTCCTCACTGTTTATATAAATGTATTTTAATAGAAAATATTGTACATGGATATTAAAAGGTTATACAGTACTGGTATTTGTTTATATAACAAGAAAAGGTGCAAGCGAAAAAATTGCTCGAACAACAAAAACAAAAACTGAAGCAAAAACGAGTGCAAAATGTGCAAAAAGGTAAGTCCTATATCTTCCAAGAATATCCAAAACTCCAATCAACCTTCACCTAAGGCTAAATAATCCACAAGGTGAGTTATCTGTCTGCTCTGTATTTATTTATATGTCTATACTCACAAATCATGCTTCTCCCCCCTCATACACATATATACATGCATCACACACCACCACTCTTTTAGTATAGCTTTATTTTACTTACACCATTATTTAAAGTTTCTTTTATATTTTTTCATTCTCAATATTTTGTTCATAAACATATGTTTAAATAAAATTAAAAAGTGGGATCTAACAAAGTTAGCAGCAGCAAAATATACAGGTGCTACATTTTTTCGCTTACATATAATCACATTTCTTTTGTAAGATACATATTTATTAATATTACTTACTTTAACATGACTCTGTGCTCCAAGATTATAAATTTCAGTGGGTTTCACTTCGTTAATTATTTTCACCAAGCAAGTACTATCTGTCAGATCACCATAATGTAGTTTCATATCTTCAGGTTAAAAAAAAAAACATAGTTAAAATCATGTAAATTTGACATATGTTGTTCTCATTTCTATTTATACTTTCCTAATTTCTTTGAAAGTCAGACAGGCATATATTTTTATTATAACCATAATTTAATACAGATTGTGGCTTTCTAATAATGTACTACACTCCAATCTTCATAATTTACTAAGTCAGACATTATTTTCTTTGGAATGTAAGTCACTGAGTGGTAAATCATAGGAATTCTGAAATTTAATTTGCATTAATTAAATTACATGAGACATTAGATTTTGTACCAACTGCCTTTCTGGTAAAAATGTAAAAAATATGATTAAAGAAAAATTAAATAGAAATGACTTATAAAGTATATGATAAAAAAGTCTACTGCAAACATTCAAAATCCTATTTATTTTCAGTATATTGTCCTAGTTCAGTTTCCCTAAAACCATTTACACTATAAGTCACAATATGCAAAACATATTTTTCCTGCTCTGTAACTGGTTGCCTGAATTATATAATAAATGTAGAATAAGTACATGGGAGAATTCAGGCAAGTTGTAAATATGTTTTAAATTATTATTACAGTGGCCCTCATTATCTGCAGTCTTATTATCTAGTAATTTTCCATATCTATGATTGATAGAGACCTATAGATGTAAAGGTTTTCACATATTATGATTTGGCCCTGATTTTGTTTATTTACAAATGGCAGGCTTTCAGATACTTATTTTTTTAAGAATAGGTTGTCACTTCAATCTACCTGTATCTGCTCCTTCCCCCCCTCTTTCAGTCCCAGCAGATCTTACTGGATCAGCCCATACACGAGCCTCTACATGGCATCTGGGCTTCTTTGAAGTCACTCACTTGGCTGGTGATGGAGGGGGTTATGCACTTGCGCTACCTGGCTTACACTGGATTCTCTACATGGCTCTTTTGCCATCTTGGTGGAAGGTCCTCTCAATCACATTGTTGGATCCTATTGCTACCCACAGAGCCATGTGGAGGACAGAAGTCAACAGGAGCCATTGCACAAGTGGGATGTCTCCCTTCATCTTCCATCAAGTAAGCTGCATTGAAGAAGGGGGCCAGCTTCACTGGGAAACCACACAAACCGTCATACTGGACTTAATGAAGGACTTAATACCACATCTGAGTGAGAAGGAGGAACAAATACAGGAACATTGCTCAGAGAGGAAGATGGAGTAAGTGGATGACCATTAGGCTCCAGAACCTAACCCCAATTCTCATAAACTCAAGGTCTTGTTTTTTTGCAGTTTTATTATCCATGTTTTTGGATAACAAAATTGTGTTTGAACAGAACACTGGCAAATAACAGTCACCTGGTACATTAGCTTGTTATAAATGGCTGATGTTTTTGTTATAATATAAACAGTCACCTGTACATTAGCTTGTTATAAATGGCTAATGTTATAAATGGCTGATGTTTTGATATCTGATCACCAAATTCATTTTACTGCTAACAGGTTTTATATTGATTTCATATGGATATGCAGGAAGGGACTTGATAAACAGTGTATAACCAAGAAAAGAATTGTGAACTGGTTCTAATTAGTCAGGAAAATTACTTGCAATATATTAACAAACCTATATTGCTATCCTAAAAAGTCCTCTTACTTTGCTTTTTTTTTTTTTTAGTGATTATTAGTGATAATATCAACGTTTTGTTTTCTATTCCAATTGAAATTAATGAAACATTTTTCAAATTTTGAAAAGAGAAGCCAGACTAAAAAGATGCCCTGTCTGATGCAATCTTATACAAACATTAGAGATAAAAACAAAATCACAGCATAAGTCCCCTGTGTATCCCATCTCATCTTCCAGCAAAGACTTACTTCCTTCTAGGTGAGCCTGCGGGTTCTTGTAGAGATGTTCAATCCGTCCTGTGTTAAAAGAGCTAGATCTACGAACAATTCCATGTACCTGCAATTTAACAGAAGCACAGAGAACATTTAGCTTTTCGATATTTAGCTCCACAATATCAGATCTTGCAAGATCAGTTTCATGATACAGAAGTGTCCGATTCAAACAGAAAAACAAGGAAGGGCCATAAAGGTTCAGGAGAAATACTGAAGAACCATTCCGTACCACAACACTATTGTCCAACAGCTTATCTTGTAAGCTAAGCTCACAAATGTGGCTGGGCAAAAGCTATTTAATGGAAACAACTGCGTGAAAATAATGGTATCCTCTTTCTCCATGCTGTTTCTCTTGTTCAACAATCAGACGTTTCTGACAAACATCTCTAGCCTATAGAACTTACATAATTATAAATATTTGTACTTAATCTCTTCATGGCTTCAGGTTGACATTATTTGTGCATCTTTCTTCCCTGAACAATGGAAGGAGAGAGACTTTTCCTAAATAGATAAGTAACAAATAGCAATGTTTAGTTTACACCTAGCCAACCCTGGCCAAGCTTTAAACTCTAAGCAGGATCAGATCTGGAACTGTTTGGATGGCAGACCACAAAGATACCCCAGGTTTGTAGGCTGGACTGGAAAGAAAAAAAAATCCCAAAGGCAGTGGAAAACCACTTCCACCTTGGCGCAAAGAAAACAACACTGACATGTCCATTAAGTCACCAGAGGCAAGCTCAACTCAAAGGAAAGTTTACTTTATTTACTAGAAACAAACATATTTATAGTGAAAGCAGTACCAAGGAAAGAGACAGATTTTAAGTCTAGGACTTGGCAGTATCCTTGATTTTATTCATTTGTTCTCTTGTTTTGCTTTTTGCTTTTGTTAAAAGACATGTTTTCTAAGTTACAAGTATAAAAGTAGCAGTGTCACTTTACTATTATGAAATAGACTGAATAGTGTTACAAGTAACACAGAAGATGGGAACTGTTTGTATTGGCCATGATGCAGAAACATTTTAAAGAACAAGGGAACTGTTATGCTGCTATGACAGCTAAATGGAAGAGGATCAAGTTCATTAATGAGATACCACTTTTCAGCTTTTTATTGTTTCAGAGCATTACCGAAGTTCTAACATTTCATAACTGCAGAAACACAGTTCAATTTATTTCCTCAATGTCCCCATCCCCACCTCTGCAAAATACCTTTTTTGGGAGGCATTTCAAAATGAATAGTTTTTCCTCCTGCATCGTAACATGAATTTAATGTAGCCTTGCCTTGCGCAGGCTGCTGTTTATCTGAACAAGCAGGAAGTGTGGAAAAACAGCTATACCCTGAGGATCGGAGGGATTCCACCACTGTACTCTCCATGATAAACAGTACAATGCGCTGGCATGATTACAGCCCATGTTGCACATTCTTTTCAAACATTTTGATTTCTTATCTAATGCTGAATGGAAAACATAAGCAGAGAGTGACAGCAACAAGGAAGCTCTGTCCAAATTATTCCATGCGTCTGCAGTCGGTCAGTAAAACCAGTCACTCACCTCATAGCCCTTTTCCAGCAGGAACTCTGCCAAGTATGAGCCATCCTAATGAGAAGATAGGAAAATGTTATGAAAGTGTTAGGACCATCTTATCTCTTTGTGGAAGCTGTCAGCTTCGGTCATCTTAAGAACACTGTAAATCAATAACGAACTGGTAATTAACAGTGTGCATGGAAAGTTCAGTGCATACAAGCATTTACATGTTAATCAATCAAGAATGAGGAACTTAGTACTTCAAATCGTGTCTCTGTGTTTCAGCATACAGAACAATAGGTGATTAATCCATTGAGACTAGCAATTGTTGCTTACTTTTAATTTGCCACGTTGCAAAATCTTCTGAAGTGCATTATATAAGAAATACAGATATCTTTATATGTATGTTTTACAACAGCTTTTGCAATCCACAGTTCTTGTAGAGCAGTATGGAGATGGACTTGAAGAAGGAGAAATCTAATGATCTTTTTGTAAGCATCAGTTTAGCCCAGAAAGAGAGGAGGAGGTGTGGAAAAAACTCAAGATTGCCTGGTCTTGATTCTCTTTAGTATAAGGGGAAAGAGAGAATTGCTGTCAGGCTTTTGGATGATTCTGAAATTATACCCAATAACAATAGAATGCTTTAGCACAGTAGTTCTTGTGCTGTCTGTTTCCTGACCTAGTCTACCTCAAAGGGCTGACAGTTCTGTTGGGACTGCAACACCCATAATTAGAACAATGTATTCTCTTGGTGATTATTTAGGGTAATCACCAAGAACTGCAACTATCCCAACACAACTTTCAAGCAATTAATATACATGCAAAGGGACTACACATGTGCACACACACATGTACATATATACACTTTGAATAAATCTAGGCAAAATTATATATGATTTATAGCATGGTTCCAAGGATGTTTAGTTATAAGTAGGCCCCACATACAGTATGCTTCGCACTATATTAAGCAGGGTATGGACATAGTAGAAGCAAGAAAAGTTTGCAAAAATAGAAAGATACGGAGAGGTATAGTGAATATTGCTGTTGTGAATTAGATTTAGCTATAGTTTTTTTTCTTATTTCATGCCCTAATTTCTTTGCCATAATATTGCTCCTTTTCTGACCGTTGCACAACACTGCTTATATCGCAAACGACAGGTGCATAGGTATGCTTTTAGATGCTTTTCATTATCTGTACTGTTTCTTTAATAATACAGACAATCCTCATATAGCGACACAATTGAGACTGGCAACTTGGTCATTAAGCAAAACAGTCACTAAGTGAAATCTTGACTGTGGTTACAATCTTCAGCTTTCTTTTGCTTTACAGATCTGCAAAGGTTGCAAATGAGAGGATTGGTCGCAAAGTTTATTTATTTTTTATTTATATATCAAATTTGTCACTGCCCATCTCATCGAACGACAGAAAAAACGCAAGCAATTTCTGTAGCAATCTCTCCGTTGCTTGACCCCCCCCCCTCCGCAGAGCAGAGAGATTGGAGAGGAAAGGATTTCAAGAGAGTAAGCTGTTTGCTCTTCTATACACCAAAAGCAATGTGATTGTGCCGGCAGCAGGAAAGGGTCGCTGAATGAGTGGTTGGTAAGCGAGGACTACCAGTATCACAAGTTTCCACTATTACAAATATAAAGCCCTTCTACTCCCTAGAAGCTGTATAATGATACAAATATTTGTAATATGATCATTTTAACAAACACTTTACAGTCTAAGCTGCCACATGAAAAAAAGCAAACCTTGTAAAGTATATCTAATTGTTCAGTTTAGAACCTGAGATATATTAGGTAGCTTTATACCAATTAAGATATCCAGAGATCATTCACTGTACCACCAAAGCAGCAATGCATAAACCCAGTCTCAGTGACAGCATGTAGAATACAAATCACACTTTTTTTTTCATTCAGAGGGTGGATGCAGGGTGGGATAAATTTGTTTCCTTCATTCAAGGCAATAAAAGGAGAAGATAAAGGTATTTACTATTCAAATACAAAGAGATAGAGTCTGCAGATTACTTCTGTTGATGCAAAATAGAACTAAACCCAAGAGTACCCCATCAAATAAAGTTTTATTCTTCTCAACCAGAGCTGTTTCAAACTTTCCAACCTTGCTGGAACATTTTAAACAAGCTGTGGCATTCACTTCCTCTGTATTTCCTTTCAGGTCTATCAAGTGACTGAAGATGACATGATAAATGAGTAGGAAACAAGCAAATATTGGAAGCTAGTAACTTCTGATTCCAAAATGGTACTACTAATTTGCTATTTAATTTAATAGTTAGGACTTACTACACTACAGCAATCTGTATCACTTGCCTTGCTTTCTTTCCACCAAGATGATACAATGAACATCCTACTCAATTCCACAAACTGTATATTTACAATTTATTTTGTCTCTGGATTTTCAAATACTCTAAATTCATAATCTTGAATACATATTTATGCATACCCATTTCAATTTAAGTATTTAAAAAACCCAAGACTTTTAGTTCAGTTTATGGAGTTCATAAAATGGAAAATCTGCATGAACAAAAGGATGCTTCTTAATTCTTTTACAGGTTGCACTGTACTTTGATTATATGTGTTTTCCAAACATTTCCAATTACTTTCAAGTGAAGCAGAAGATGGAAAAATCTGAGGCAAATGCAACCAAACAGGCTATAACACACAATTGCTACCACAAGTTGACAGTCTCTCAATATAAACCAAAAATTGAAATTGCACTTTATTCATTATGTAAACTTTATACTGGACTATTCTATGAATGAATGAATGAATGAATGAATGAATGAATGAATGAATGAATGAAACAAACTACTTTACAGCACTGTGTCTAAAGACTTATCTTTTTAGTAGTTCCATCAAATGCAACACCAATGTTATTTTCAGTAATGTTGATACCTTTCAGTCTTAGATCTAGAATTTGGAGAAGCATAAATATCTCATACAATAAAGCACTGTTTCAAAATTATTTCACTGATCCCCCACCAAAAGGTTTTTCTACCTTTCTGGATTTTTTTTTAAATGTTTATAATATTGAAAAATTATAAGTAGCAAATAGCAATCCCTAAAAGTTGCCACAATGAATGAGTTATGTTAAGAATTTGCATCTAATCTCACCTGGTTAGTTTACTTAGCATCATTTTTTTCACTAATTATAGTTACATTAGCAATTAGACTTTACCTTATATTATACCTGCCTACACTTTAAAAAGAGCCAGGTTTTGATTCTGAGTACAATACAATTGAATGGCAGCAGTATTTTGATTTATTATACATTCTATCCCATAGATAATAAATTCTGTGATCATTATGGATCACTAGCAGTTCTATCTGGTATCAGTGGATTAATATATGTTTCTCTTTCATCATGAAATAATTAGTTATCCATTTAGGAAAAAATTCGTACTTCAGATGAAAATAAACAGGAAGTCACAAAAATAAAAAATTCTGACATGTATTGATATTTGTTAGTAAATCTATTTTTGCTGTTATTAAATGTTAATATAAATCCAAAAGGATCAGATTAAAATACCAAGCCATACTATATACAAATATTTGTAAACTGAGAGCCAATTTAATGTCGTAGTTAAAGTGCTGTCCTAGAAACCAGAAGACTGTGAGTTCTAGGCCTCCCTTAGGCATAAAAGCTGGTTGGGTGACTTTGGACCAATTACTCTCTCTCAGCCCAAGCTACCTCACAAGGTTGTTGTTGTGGGGAAAATAGGAGGCAGGAGTATTAGGTATGTTCACTGCCTTCAGTTGATCAAAATATATTTTAAAAAGGGGAATAAAAATCGAATAGTAATAATAGTCCAAGATGATGAAAATGATGATATTTTTATCCCACCTTTTTATATATAATGTATAAACCATAGCACACAAATATACAGAGAAGTGAACACTGGAGCTAAAAACAAAAGAAGGAATATACAGATGTAATGATATTTCTGCAAAGTCTTTCTGTTTTACTTTTCTCAAAAATAGTCGTTTGACTCCATATTCATGGATATGAAGTCCAGCTTATAAACATCTGATCCACAGTAAAAAGTTCAAATAGAATAGAATTTCAAATCTGCTATAGGAATCATTTACGTAAAATATTTTAAGATCTTGTCTGCATGTTCAAAACATTGAAATGTGACAATTCACTCTTCATTAAAAGTTGCATTCATAACAAGAAAATTAAAAAGCAGTTAGACAACAATAATCAGAAAGTACATATCAGCTAAAAGTATTTTTTAAAAATTCAGAAATTAAATTTAAGGTACTATAATTACTAACTACAAATGCAGTTAGCAAAATAAAACTGGAAAAATACTTTCTGGTTATGATCACAAGAAAATCTTACTAAGTACATTCCCATATTGCTTCAGGCTAATAATTTATAGCTTGGGATTAAGCTATATACTATTACTACCACTTCAACTGTACTGTATTCTAAATTGCAGAAAAACAATCTAATGTGTCCTCTAATGTAGCACTTGCTGTCTTCTTGACACCACTCTATGTCATTAAATTTGATTAGTATATGTGATGAATGAGTAATACAACTAATATTAAAATACACCATTATTTTTTCAGAAACTGGAGACAGAGAGAGAGAGAGAGAGAGAGAGAAAGAGAAATAATGAACCCTTACATTTTGTGCTGGCAACAAAGGTCACTAAAGCATTTGCAAGGTGGCCTCATGCCTCAACAGAATTTGGCCTCTGTTTCCCAAGAAAACTTCCCATAAAATCCCTTTTAAAAAAATCAACCATAGCAAAATTGGATGAAAACAAGTCACTGCCCTTATCATCAAAACCAAAGATTATGAAGAAGTTGAGTTCAGGTGCCAGTTATTTTTCTGATATCTGAGATGGAGCATTTTACTTGACTGGATAAAGCAAAAATCTGTCTCATAAATAGGTCAGCTTTTACTTATCTTCTGTATGCTATAAAACATAGGATAGCGTTCAGGAAAAGGAAAGAAGAAGAAAAAACAACGTAGGCTTACTTAGCATCATCCAGCCAAGACCCTCAGATGGTCTCTCTTCAACCATTCTCTCTACAATGAA